TTTTTTTTTTTTTTTTGAGACAGTCTTACTCTGTTGCCCTGGGTAGAGTGTAATCGTAGCTTACCACAACTTAAAATTCTGGGCCTTACATGATTCTCTTGCCTCAGCTTCCCAAATAGCTGGGACTACAGGCGTGGCTACCACACCCAGCTAATTTTTCTTTTTTTTTCCGAGATAGTCTCTCTTGCCCTAGATAGAGTGCCATGGTGTCATCATAACTCAGAGGAACCTCAAATTCCTAGGTTCAAGCGATCCTCCTGCCTCAGTCTCTCCCCAGTAGCTGGGACTACAGGTGTCTGTTAAAACATCCAGCTAATTCTTTTTTTTTATTATTAGAGACAGAGTATTGCTTAGGTTGGTCTTGAACTCCTGAGCTTAAACAGTGCTCCCATTTCAGTCTTCAGAGTGCTAGGACTACAGTGTTAGCCAGTGTGCCAGCAGTCCCCTTTTTTCTCCGGACAAACTGTATCTGCCATGTTTTCTATACATTGCTTAATAAACTCACCATCAGTAAATGGCTTTTATTTATGGTTTTTGTGGTTAAATATGCTACCACATAACTAGCTTTTACAACGGAATCTGTTTAAGTTGTAAGTTTATGTATGTATGTATATATTTATTTTGAGACAGAGTCTCATTTTGTCCCCCTGGGTAGAGTGCCTTGGCGTCACAGCTCACAGCAACCTCAAACTCTTGGGCTTAAGCGATTCTCTTGCCTCAGCTTCCCAAGTAGCTGAGACTATAGGCATCTGCTGCAATGCCCAGCTTTTTTTTTTGCAGTTTTTGGCCATGGCTGGGTTTGAACCCACTACCTCTGGCATATGGGGCTGGTGCCCTACCTCTTTGAGCCACAGACGCCACCCTGCCTAGCTAATTTTTTAGAGACAAGGCCTTGCTTTTGCTCAGGCTGGTCTCGAATCCATGAGTTCAGGCAATCTACCTGCCTCGACCTCCCAGAGTGCTAGGATTACAGGCATGAGCCAGCGCTCCTGGCCTTCAGTTGTAAGTTTAAAAAAATAATTTTCTAGAGGACACATTTTTCCATTCTAGTCTTTTGTCTTTACAACACAATCCTTCATAGAACTTGGCAGCAGCTCAGTGTCTGTAGCTCAAACAGCTAAGGTGCTAGCCACATACACAGGAGCTAGCTGGTTCGAATCCAGCCTAGGCCCAACAAACAGCAATGACAACTGTAACCAAAAATAGCAGGGCACTGTGGTAGGTGCCTGTAGTCCCAGCTAC